GGCTGTTCCTACCTGAGCTGCTCTATGATTCTGGAAATGATTGGGCAGTGACTTCTTAGTCTTTTCCAAACTTAATGATTCTGTGGTTCCATATTCAAATGAAGCTACCTGATGGCCACAGCCCTGTGCCCAGCTACGATCTGGGTTCATCAGGTTGCAGATGAGGCTTCAAGGGCTGGTTGTTGAAGCAAAAGTATCCAATGAGACAGTTCAATGTGGCTCGTACCTTAAAGGATGCAAAGGTGTACTGAATTAACTCTTCTGTCTGCCAGCAAAACGGAAATCAATACAAATCTGACTTCACTTCCAATAGAAAAAAAATGGCCATTCTATCTGGTTTGTCCAAAAGGAGGCTGAAAGATTATTTGATTGCACCTGAGAGGAAAAGCTGTAAATTAATCTTAACTATTTCTTCTGACCTAAATAATAAAAGCTTAAAAAAGTATCAGTGTTTTTTTTTCTCAAATCAGACATTTCCAGCACACCTATTGCTTGACAATTCAATTTGATGTCAGTCAAGCATGCCACAAGGTCAGCCTTCAAATCCTGTCTCCAGTAGATCTTTGAGCAGATCCTAACACACATCACAGTCAATAGCTTGACATCCTATTGATAAAAATGGTCAAAACACTCTGTTCTACCGACCTATTCCTGTTATGAACAGCAGCACTTAGCTGGCAGTACAGGAGATAAAGGGGGATTTTCTGTTGCACCTCTCCCGGTGCCAGAGATTAAGATGACTTTTTGCAATACTTGCAGAAGACTAAGCAGGAAGCCCAGGCTGCCACAGAGCTCCCAAGCCAACCATCACAGCTATCGCAGAGATTTTCAGCCACTCCGTGAGAGAAAAAAAAGATTTCATGAGTGTCACTAACTAGAGGAAGTGAATATTTATAGTGGAGATAATGATCTCCCAGACACTCACCAGAGCCATGGATCTGATGTGATTTAGGCAGGTGAGTTGTACTCCAGGCCCACCTCTGCTCTCTCGTGTCACCACGAGTCAAGATTAACCACTGATGTCAACGGAACAAAAACACTCTGGGAGCAGGGATGCAGGCTAAAGATACTGCTAATTAATAGCATGGTTTATTAAGAAGGCTGGCATTGGTATGAGTACACTGATGTACTTATCTCACTTTATCTTGGCTCACAACCACCATCAAAGAGTTGGTCAGCAGAGAGCTCTGCCTGGGGATAGCCACCTGCAACACTAAGTATTCACGTTCAGCTACTGATAACAGTCTGGTAATGGAAAGAAAGGCTTTGGGATGATTACAGATGTTAGAAGAGTCTGCTTTCCAAGCAGGAGAACTACGTTTCAGACCACTGTACAGATCCCACTTAACAGAAGCCTGATTTAGCAACATCAGAAAAAGGAAAATCCACTGCTTCTCAAAATACTTTCTTCCATCACTTGCCCTTCTTAAAGGGATAAATTCAAGCTAGATACAGTTCAATGTTCCAGTAGCCCTCTACTTGTAGCAGTCTGCCTCTTCTGACCAAAGACACTGCAGCACAAATAAGAAACAAATCATAAACCTCAAGCTGCATTCCCAAGGGTCAGAATGCTCTTTCTAATCAATTTGATGAGAGATTCAACACGAGCTGGCACTGCTTGCCTGCAGCCCAGAATGCCAACCAGATCCTGGGCTGCATCAGGAGAAGTGTGACCAGCAGGGTGAGGGAGGTGGGTCTGCCCCTCTGCTCTGCTTTCATGAGATCCCACCTGGGTACTGCATCCAGTTCTGGCCACCAACACAGGAAGGACGTGGGATTGTTGGATGGGTTCAGAGGGCCACAAAGATGATCAGAGGGCTGCAGCACCTCCCCTACGAGGACAGGCTGAGGGAGCTGGGCTTGTTCAGCGTGGAGAAGAGAAGGATCTGGGAGGAACCTGTAGGGGCATTCCAGTACCTGAAGGAGCCTACAGGAAAGAAAAGGAGAGACTTCTTACAAGGATAGATAGCAACAGGAAGAGGAGAAATGGTGCTAAACTGGAAGAGGGTAGATTTAGACTAGATATCAGGAAGGATTTCTTCACTGTGAGGGTGGAGATGCACTGGCACAGGTTACCCAGTGAGGCTGTGGATGCCCCCTGCCCGGAAGCACTCAAAGCCAGCCTGGATGGAGCTGTGAGCAGCCTGGTCTGGATGGAGGTGTCCCTGCCTACAGCAGGGGCTTGGAATTGGGTGATCTCAAAGGTCCCTTCCAACCCAAACCATCCTATGATTCTATGATTCTGATTTATTTGTTCAACGCAACCTTCAGATGAGTCAAAGAGGATTTATTATTGGTCTCAATCTGAAAAAAAAGTATGCATAGGGCATATGTACATCTCTCATGTAGGCTGAAGGGCTACAACTGAACACTGACGCTTATACAAACAGGAGAGCACTGGGCTTTGCAAGTTTTGAACTGATGAGCAGTAAAAGTGCAGAAGCACGATCCCATATTCCAGCTGTAGGTAAGCACATGAGTTTTAAAGTCTTACACTATAAGAAAGATTTTTCTGTTATATTCTGATGGAAGCAATTCAAAAAGAAATGCTCCTATCTACATCCACAGCAAAACAACGGCAAGAACTGGTTATCTCATGAGATAGAACTACTCCCAACTTCAAGGGCAAATTCACTAGTTGCCCAAGGAGGCTGTGGATGCCCCATCCCTGCAGGCATTCAAGGCCAGGCTGGATGTGGCTCTGGGCAGCCTGGGCTGCTGGTTGGCGACCTGCACACAGCAGGGGTTGGAGCTGGAGGAGCGCTGTGGGCCTTTGCAACCCAGGCCATTCTGGTTCTATGATCCTGGAAAGCAAATGTAAAGCTTGTGATATTTGAGGAAGAAAAGGTGTATCAAGGTTCTGCTCAATAATAACCCGCTTTGGATTCAAGCATGGTGCAGGAGAATTCAGTGTTACCTACCTGGCTGAGGAGGTCTGATATCTGCTTACACTCGGCCATGCAACCAACAGTGCAAGACCACAGGAGAAAATGGGTTGTCCCATTAACTGCAGCCCCTGGAGAACAGCACTTTGGGTTTTCAAGTCTGACCACATTGGCAGGAAAGGTGGAAGAGCAGCAGCACTGCTGCTGTGATTCCCAACTCCAGCTGCTCGGAACAACAGTGGAATCCTCCCCTAGATGGTCTGCAAACCCACAGGCACGTGTGGCCTGACATGCATGAGGAAAGGGAGCTGTGTTTGGCCGAGACAAGCTGTGCTATTTTTGGTGCTATTAGAAATCTCTGCTTGTCAGTAATTACATTTCATTTGTAACAGTTACACATAGAAACAGAAAAACGCCTTCCAAGTTAGATGCCATCCTGAAAAGAAGGGTCACAGGAAACTTTCCTAAATGCACCACACAGCTCTGTATGCATGCAGCCTGACAGAGCAGGGAAAGGGGAAAAAGAAAGCTCTAACCACTTCGAGAAGTGCTGAGAACAGAAGATGCTGCTCGACATTACGAAGTTGACTTCAGGGCAAAAGTCTTTTTAAGTTTACGTTACACAGGCACAGGAGTCCAATTTTAGATCCCTTTAATCAAAGCTCTCCAACATGCAGTGCGCTGCGTAAAAGTAGCAGGAATGGCCTCTCGCTATAAGCCTAGGGTCTAGGCAGAGACAAGATAGGAGTGGAAATGCAGAGCAGCAAGCAAGACCTGGGGACAAGAAGAGCTGTCTCACAGCTCAGAGCTCTGCTCCACACATCACCATCTCCTGTGCCATGGCATCCCGCGACACTGTGAGTGTTCCATGTATGCACCGTGTGCCCTGCACTCACACATCCTCTGCCAGGATATTTTCTCACTCTTCAGTACAGGGGTGTTGAAGATGTAAGCCAGATTCACATCAATTAGATAACCTAAATTCCAAACACTGATGAAGAATTACCTCTGTAGAAGCAAGAGGGGCAAGAGAGATTTATTATTTGAATAATATGAGATAATTATAAAAAGCATTTGTCTACATGCTTTGGTAAAGCATGTAAAGGTGGCTCTGGGCAGCCTGGTCTGGTGGTTTGTGACCTTGCACATAGCAGGGGGGTTGAAACTAGATGATCTTTGAGGTCCTTTTCAACCCAGGCCATTCTATGATTCTGTGATTCTAAAGGAGGATAGGAACCACCTACTACAAACAATGAGAAAACGTCTACTTTATTTCCATTTGAGAGCGACTTGTCCTGACAAGAACTGACATTTCTATCCAAGCTTTCCATTTGGAAGGGTATCCCAGACCAAGGACTGACCTCCTTGTAAAAACAGAACACCATCGTCCATGGACAAGCTGCTCCTCAATCAGTACAGCGCAGGTAATGAGGGAGACCTCCATCTCCACAGTTCAGCTCTCCATATTCAGAGCGTGCTTCCCCACATCTGAAGAGGGCAGAAACTCTATGCCAAGCGCTCCTCCCACCCCATCTGTCAGCCTGTTGTAGGACTGGAGACAGAATGAGAAGTCTGTAATTCTGTGCTGAATGATTCTGTGCAGCTCCTCTGGCACACGGTATGGGATGGAGAACAGTGCAGTGCAGGAGCAGGGTCACGCTCTCCCCACCTCCGGGAGCACAGACTGGTGTCTGACAAACACATGCATGCAAGGACAGACAAAACAAACAGATAATGCTCAGTATTTGTACATTATGTTAAAAATGAAACATCTGTGGCACAGCCCCACATGCTGTGCAGTTCCTTATTGCACTGACGTGAAGTCTTGAAGCACTGAAATGGCAACAGGAACAAACTCTCCTCACAGCAGTTTTCACACAGGTGGAAAGCAACCTGCACATAATGGCACGCTTCGCCCAAGGGCTGCAGCAGCACCGACGGCTTCTTGCTGCCGACAGCAGCTCCGGGGCCCTTTCTCTTCTGGTGTTTGTGACGCGTCCTGTGGCCGTGCTCTGCGACACGGCTGTGCGCACTCCTGGCTGACCTCAAACCACAGCTTCTGTACCACAGCTCCTTTTCCTCTCGCTGCTCAGATGAGCTGAAGGCAGCCTGCTGCTAGGCCTAGGAGAAAGGACAGGTCATGTAAGGTGCAGCACCATGCAAGGAGGGTCCACTTCTGGCAGGGTCCTGAGGCAGCTCCTGCTTGCAACACCACAGCGGACAACCACAGAATCCCAGCATGGCCTGGGTTGCAAAGGCCCACAGCGCTCCTCCAGCCCCAACCCCTGCTGTGTGCAGGTCGCCAACCAGCAGCCCAGGCTGCCCAGAGCCACATCCAGCCTGGCCTTGAATGCCTGCAGGGATGGGGCATCCACAGCCTCCTTGGGCAACCTGTGCCAGTGCCTCACCACCCTCTGCATGAAAAACTTCCTCCTCAGATCCAACCTAAACCTGAACCATCTTAAAATCTGACCCAACAGAAAGGAGAAAGCAGCAGGCCTTGAGCAGGTCTGAGGGAACAGCACCGAGGGGAGGGCCGGGGCTGCGCCCAGAGGGCGGTGGGCAGCACAGCAACCCAGGGCGGTGGGCACGGCCCCGAGCTGCCAGAGGAGCGCTGGGACGCCGCTGGGACCAAGGCTGGGGGTGCCGTGTGGGGCCAGGGCTGGACTCGATGAACTTTGGGGGTCTCTTCCAGCCTGGAATGTGCCTAAACTTAGCGCATGACAGCAAAGCTGGATGCTACCGGAGACAATGTGGGAAAGGAAGGATGCAGATAAGTCAGAAGTTGCACAGTCAGCTTCTCTCACACGGAGTGAACCCAAGCACAGCGGTGCCGGTAGCACCAAGAAAGCATTACCCTTCTTTTTTCTATTGTTCCCCACTAGGTACACCTGAACACACTGTCACTGAAAGTCATCACAGCTTTCAATACCAGAATCAGGACTGACTAACAAAGAGTGGGCAAAAGCAAGGGAAACTGTTTTACAAAGTTCAAACTGAAGTGATCATGCTTGGGTGGATAGGAGGAGCACTGCAGACAATGGTTGGGAGAACTAAAAGGGATTCTCTTCTGGAAATACATCAAACCACGGAGTCTAGGTTACAGAATAGATCAGTTTAACAAAGATTCTTTCAGTCAAACTGCCCTCATATTAACACTGATGAGTGCCTAATGTGCTGGCTGAGCTCTGAGTGCTTTCCATCCTGAGCTGGAAGCAGACCAACCCTCCTGAAATGCTCAGACAGCCCTGCTGTCACCCTGCAGTACTTCTGTGAGGAACACAATGGGGTCACGAGATGGGAATGCTGGAATCGTAGTTATGTGTCTCATTCACTCAGTAACCTCAAAGGAGGCCTGTTGTACTGAAGGGAGAAGTCATGCATTCTCTTTCCAAATGGCTTTGACATCTATCGGGGAAGAAATAAGACTAAAATAATACTTGTAGTGTTGTAACGGTAACAGTAGTTTATGTAGCAGTCCCAGATTGCCACTTCTCCCACTCAGTACCTCCTTATTTGTAAAATTCCTTCCATGTATGAGTGAGCAGGTTGGTAAGAATTGTAAATTAAGCCACAGAAGAGAAAAAAACAAAACAACAGCAAGAGAAACAACACATTACCTTTGCTAGACTGCACTCCCGCTTTGATGAAAGGCAGTTCTTCCTTAAGGCCTCTCTGGTCTGTACATCAAAAACAATAGAAAAAAATCAGAAGCAGAGATTTATGGATATAGAAAATATTAATGTAATCTAGGAAATGACCCGAGTACCTTTCTGTCCAGAAGTGTCCCAAACAACAGAATGAAGAATCCCTGAAACATAGCAGAAACAGTCATCAAAGTCAGCATAACCACATGTTGTTTCTCAAATATTTCTATTTCCTCCAGCATAAATATGATAATGTCTTTGAGTGTGTAAAAGATCTTATCACCTATGACATAAGTAGCAGCATTGATCATAGAATCACAGAATGGCCAGGGTTGGAAGAGACCTCAAGGATCACGAAGCTCCAACCCCCCTGTGCCACGCAGGGCCACCAACCTCCCCATTTCACAGCAGCCCAGGCTGCCCAGGGCCCCATCCAACCTGGCCTTGAACACCTCCAGGGATGGACGGGGCATCACAGCCTCTCTGGGCAGCTGTTCAGCACCTCACCACTCTCATAATTAAGAAAAAATGAGTTTGTCTACCCAGATCACATGGACTATCTAGGAATGCCAAGAATGGATATACAATCCATGCTGATTCTCCTTACAAACTGGACTGATGGGTTACATACCAGAACCTTTCCTATTTACTTAACAGGAGCATCAGTCAAGAGCAGCCAAGACTGTCTGGGTTCATCACGGTATGCTGGGCAACACTGGACTCTGATTAACACCAGTGTGGTACATGGAACCACACTTAATGTCTAAGTGAGAATTCCCTGTATTTGTAAATTGAGTTATTAAACATGAAATAATCTGGTTAATGTCTAAGATAAGTTATTTAACTCAATGCCTAAACTTACTGAGCTTACCTGGAAGGCATTAAGGATCGCAAAGGTAATGTGGAATGCCAGAGAGTGACTGTCAACCACTGTTGCCAACCCAAACCCCCAGGTGAGGCCCAGCAGAGGTGTCAGAAGGGCAACGTTTTTGCTAATTCGGATCATGTTGCTCAAATCTCGTGACTTGCAGCTTTCTCCAATAGAGGGTCTTGGAGTCTTCACCACAACCACCACAACCACAGCCAAATTCACTGCAACGATGCTCAGAGCAGGTACAGCAAAGGCCAGCAGGGCTTTGGTCTCATACCAATTGAGCCAGCAGGCTCCGCTCCTTAAGTACCCATTCCTTGGTTCAGTAATAGCGACGGTGAGGATAGATATGACTAACGGACATCCGTATCCGATGACGAACGCTGTAACTATGAATACTGATCTTGTTATCTTAAAAAAAACCAACAGTAATCCATAGAGAATTAAGAGACCCAGGGTGAACATCCAAAAGAACAGGGCGAGATAGAACAAGTGAAGGAAGAAAGTGGCTGCCACACACAGGCGGTAGTTCAGGGCTGTGTTATGCACAACAGCTGCCACGATGAACAAAATATCAGCAACGAGAAGCGATGCGGCAATGTTCACCAAACAAAAATGGCGCATGTAGGTGATTTCAGTTCTTGTGACGTGGTGCCAGACAGCTGTCTCGATGGTCAGGCACAGAATCAAGCTGAAAATAGAAAGGCCTAGCCCCACACTCGTAATGTAATCCAGCACTGCGCTCCTCAGCAAGGTGGGAGACATCAAAATGGAGAAGGATCTGAAGGTGCGGCGGCGGTGCTTGCACATGCAAACAACACTGCTGATGTTGTCAGACTTCATTTTGCACACCTTGGTATCCCACCTCCTTTCAGTAGAGTGCCACCCAACGCACTGAGCCCCGGCATTCTCCAGCTTATTCACCTTTTCAAAGGTAAGTAAAATATGCTGAAGCTCTTCTGGAAGGGACACAGATAAAACCATGCCATTCACAGAAACAGGGTCCGGACGGCTGGCTTCTATAATGGGTCCAAGCGTGGGAAACGCAATGCTGATGGCTTTGGAAGTCTTTGGTAACTTCCGAAGTTCTTCTTCTGGAATGACCACACGCCCTCTGACACTGCTCGTCTCATTCAACTCCATTGAAAAATCAAAGCTCTTCCCTGAAGCATTTTGATGTATGCTGAAGCCTTTTGTAGAGATGAAGTGTTCCTGAATATTTTCTGATCCGTTCCTTAGAAGAAGTTTGCCAGCAAAGAGGTTCACTGAGTCCAGTAACGTCGAACTGGCATTTCTGTCCTTTACAAAAGCCCAATTGGAAATAACGGAGCTGTTCAGAATGTGATTCGCTATCTTGCTGTAACTCTGAAACAAAGAAGAAAAATAAGCCATTGCCGATGCTAAAACAAACAAATTCTATTACGTCACTGGCATAATCTCTAAAAAGGCTCATTTAAATTTCTATAATGCAATTATACTACTTTGACAATAAACAGGTTCATGTAACCCTTATCGACCCAGCCAAAGCATCTCACTGGTTCGAGTCACCTTGCCCTTTTCACTTCATTGTCCTCAAGGTGCTGGGAAGAACAGCACAGAGCAACAAGCTCAGGGCACCGCAGATGGGTTCCAGCTGACTGCTGCACAGCTCCGCTCACACCTCCCTCCCCCTCTCCACCTCTCTGCTTTCTAAGTTCATCACAAAAACATTTCAGTTTTCATCAGTTTCATCATGCAACACACGAAAACAGAGCTGTGGTCAGCATCTCCCACACAGCCATCCCCGTAGGGTCACATCTGTAGTCTTCCCCCAGCTGCTCTCCAATGTCTGTAACAGCAAGCCCTGCAAACATTTGCCTTTCAAGAGCAAGGATTCCACCAATGGGTGAAATGGGAGATCTCCACTTTACATGAGTAGGACAGTTTGTCTGACAACAAAACTCAGCCCCCCTTGGAATCTCTTCAGAGCGGCTCTCCACGCACCTTGCAGCTCTCACTTCACTGGATAGTGCCAATAAAGGAGGAAATTACACCTGCCCTGACAAGCTCAGATCTACTTCTTCCAGCCTATCAAAGTAAATACCTGCATTTTTCCTCTACTGACGTTCTCTGATAACATTAAGGAAATCTTCTTTAGCAGTTCCACGATATCAGCAATATTTCCTGGAATTGCTGGTGAAGACAAAATATCTGGGATGATGCATGAAAAGTCAGCTTGACAGTTACTGCTCCCATGGTCATCAGCACCAAAATATTTTGCTCCATCTCCGGGCTTCCCATGCATTGGCTTTCCTGGCACTACAAAGGGAAAGTGTCCTCCTCCAATGTGTCCTTCAGAGCTTGGAAGGGGTTCCCGTCTAGAAATCCTCTGAGGGAGGAAAATAATTTGAGACAATTAATAAACAGGATGGAATGAGGCTACGGCTACAACCCAACAAACTGCGCCGTCATTGTGCTGGAAGGCCTGAATCCCAGCACCAGCACTCCACTGAGAAACACCTGTTTGCAGAATGCATGTGAAGGAAGGGGGAAGAACTGAAAGTACCATTTTATTCTTCAAGTGACTTAGAAAAAAAAATGTTCTTTTTGTAGCTGGGGATGAATGTAGCATGAGTCATCTAATTATTACAGACCTTTGCACTGTTCTTTTCTCAGCTTCATCCCAGTGTATTTACCTTTGCTCTCCACAATCTAAACCAAGACATTCGCCAAGCGAAGAAGACAACTTCATTTCTGAATTGTGTTTCACCACAGGGATTTCCCACAGTCATTTCCCTTTACTTCATTTCACACAATGACAAGGCTTTTTACCACAGTAACCTCCGTTCCAGAATCCCATCTTCCTCCCTTTGCTCAAGATACAAAGGTTGGATGAGAGCAGAACACGTTATGAGCACAGGCCAAAGCGGCTGCGCAGCAGTTATGTTACCTGAAAAAGTGACTCCACGTCCAGATTCGCACAGGCGTCTGTGAACATTCTCCACGTTCTGTCTTTGCAGACAAAGCTTGTTTCCCCGTGGAAGGAGGGAGAACAGGCCTGAATGCAGAGAGTTCCGCTGTCTTCACAGGGAATCAGGTCTCTACACCCATCTGGAAAATAAATCAAGCAGATATTTCTGCCGTGCAAGACAGCACAGCACATTCCATGAGATATCATGGGTGTAAATACTGATAACGGATGACAGCTAAAAAGAAATGGAGATGACAGAGTTACTCACTGTACCTTGCAGGTCACCAGCCTTGGATCCCTTACTGAGGACCTGAAAAATAACACAAAGAAGATAAGGAAAAGATGAGTACTTGGAATAAACTAAGAATGTGACTTCATATGCAGAGTGTATCTCTGACATAGAGACTTCTCAAGGCATGGGGCAGAGTGTTCAGAGCCCTTCACCACGTCCCTGCAGGCATTCAAGGCCAGGCTGGATGTGGCTCTGGGCAGCCTGGGCTGCTGGTTGGCGACCTGCACACAGCAGGGGTTGGAGCTGGATGAGTGCTGTGGGCCTTTGCAACCCAGGCCAGTCTGTGATTCTATGCACACAGAGCCATTCAGAACTCTCTGCTAACGTTTGTCCCTATGGAAAGCCTTCAGTTGCCTCCTTCTATAAAAGTGATAATACTGAGAAAATTGACAGGGCCATACGTGCCTCCAGAGTTCCTTGCCTACAGGTGCTTGCACTGAAAGAACAACCTTTTACAAAATTGGAGAGGAATATATTTGTGTTTCCACCAATCTCATAAATCCACAAAAGAGATCTGTATTTCCTGGCTCAGGTCTGCTTTTCAAAAGCACAGTACAACCACATGAGACCAACTCTGCATGCATTATTCAGATCAATTAGTAGGTCTGTGAATATTCTGTTGGTAAATCTAAACGCAGAGACAGTAACTGGAAGAGAGAACTGATACCAAAATAAATTTAAATGCCATTTTGATATAAGAAGCACGATATTACACAAGAGCAATGTTGACCCAAATATACCCAGTCCAAAAAGATGTATCGGTCCTTGTATGGACCTTCATTGGAAGCTGAAACTCAGTTTTGGGTTAGCCCAGGTGACTCCCATCCCTTCCAGGCTGAAACGAAGTATTGCAGACCTCTGTGGCACAGAGCTCTGCAGCCCTCAGCTCTGCTCACAGACTCACCCCAGGAGCAGCGCGTGGTGCAGCTGGGAACAGCACAGCGCAGAGGAGCAGGCAGAGGGCCGCCCTCACATCCATCGCCTCGCAGTCACTGCTCTTCTCCTGGAAGAAAGGCGTTAAGCATCACCACTCCTGCTCTCACATGAACACAGTTTGGTTGCTAGTAAGCAAGCAGCTGAACCCATTCCAAAGGCCGTCCTCTGTGCGCGTGCAAGGTGATTTTCAGTTATCATTTATTACCACTAATCATTAAATTCATCATTTGTTCACTTTTTACTGAAAACTACTTGTGCTTTTTATCAGTGCTAGTTATAGAGATTGGCTCAATAACAACTAAGATATGACTTTGTAATGATAACTAACAATTTAGTTCAGTCTGGAGAAGAGGAGGCTGAGGGGAGACCGGATTGCTCTCTGCCAGTACCTGAAAGTGAGTGCAGCAGAGCGGGGTTGGTCTCTGCTCACTGGTGACAGGACGAGGGGAAATGGCCTCAAGTGGTGCCAGGGGAGGTTGAGGTTGGATGCCAGGAAACACTTGTGTACAGAAAGGGCTGCTCAGCACTGCCATGGGCTGACAGGGAGGTGGTGGAGTCCCCATCCCTGGCTGTGTTTCAAACCGTTTGGATGTGGTGCTCAGGGCCATGATTTAGCGGAGGGCTGGTAGAGTTGGGCTGGGATGGTTGGGCTGCGGTTGGACTCCATCATCTTTAAGGGCTTTTCAACCTGAGCTGCTCTATGATTTGCAATAAATTTGTTAATGACTGTCAGTCTACTTGTTTTACAACTAGTTATTTATTTCTTTAAACACCCCATTAATAGCAATCTATGACTCCCTAACTCTGAATTTTGCACGTATACTACATGTATGTGCATGCCTACAATCATATAAATGTGCTTTGGTGCACCAGTGTTTCATCCCTACTTGTAACTTAAGAGAAGTGAGAGAAAAATTGTCCATGTTATATTCTGGCAAAGTAAAGCACAAATGGTCTCTAAGGAAATTTCTTACTTGCTCTTCCTGAAAGAATAATTCTTGTAATTCTCATTGAAATCATTTTTTCTTATTCAGTGATAAGAGGAAATGGCCACAACTAATTGAAGCTGGACATGAGGCAGCAGTGTGCGCCTGCAGCCCGAAGGCCAGCTGTGTTCTGGGCTGCATTGAAAAAGGGGCGGCCAGCAGGGACAGGGAGGTGATCGTCCCCCTCTGCTCGGCTCTTGTGAGCCCCATCTGCAGTGCTGCATCCAGGGCTGGGGCCCCAGCACAGGAAGGACCTGGAGCTCTGGGAGCGGGGCCAGAGGAGGCACTGAGATGAGCAGAGGGCTGCAGCAGCTCTGTGTGAGGAAAGGCTGAGGGAACTGGGCTTGTTGAGCTTGGAGAAGAGAAGGCTGTGGGGTGACCTCATGGTGGCCTTCCAGTGCTTGAAGGGAGCGGATAAACAGGAGGGGAACGGCTGTGTGTGAGGGTGGGTGGTGATGGGACAAGGGGAATGGTTTTAAAGTGAGACAGGGGAGGTTTGGGTTGGATATGAAGAGGAAGTTTTTCATGCAGAGGGTGGTGAGGCACTGGCACAGGTTGCCCAAGGAGGCTGTGGATGCCCCATCCCTGCAGGCATTCAAGGCCAGGCTGGACACCCAGCCTCCATCATTGGCATCAGCACACGTTGGAACAGAAAAGGCCATGCTCCAATGGACAGTCCTCTGTCTGAGGCATGGAAGACCAGGCACACAGCTGGCTGCCCACTTTCTTTGTGGCATCTTGTTCATATTTTGTATGCATTTCCAGACCCAACTGTTTGTGCATTGAGAAAATACCATGAAGTAAAATGCCACATCGAAGCACTGGATTTTAAATTAGCTCTAAAGAAGAATCTCCCTCAGCCTCTGGAACCCAAGTCATTTTGGTAAAAGCACTGACCAGATTTAAAACCCGTAAGCGTCAGCTCTGCTAAGGAACAAAGTTTGATAAAGGCAAGAAAACCAGAAGGCTCAGATCAACGCTTCATAAAAGCAGGAGGTGGGCAGGGAACACCTACAGTAGGAGGTAACATCACGTGGGCTTCTTTTCCAGGCTCTGCAATCATTAAATTTCCATTGTGTGCTCTTAGCCCTAATTCCATTTCACATTTGGGAATTCCTGACTTCACGATGCTTCATCACTGATTCATTCGTAGCCACTCTGCATTTCATCACCTACGTAACTCCACCCAGAGCTGCCATCTGTAAGATCTGTAGATCTGGGGCAGCTCCCGGCAGCTGAGCCGCCCTCAGATAAAAACATGCATTGCCCGTGAAGCACCGATCTCGTTCAGTTGCATTGCTTGACTCATCGTGGAAACCACCCAGCCTCATCTCGCCGAGATAACCGCCGTGCATCATGCATCAAACACAGCACAGCCAGTCACTTCAGGGAAAGAACACGGATACTCTCACAGAAACTCGTATTAAAGCACACACACTTGCATTGCCCCGGGCATCTTCCAGTAAGGAAACTGTCACCAGCTGCCGATCCTCCTCCTCCAAATAGTGGCATTTGATCCCAGCACTGTGGGGATGAGCAAAGGTACCAACAGGAGGAAGAATAAGTGACAAATAGTGGCTGAAAGGGGCTGAAGGAGAGGAAAGAAGCACGGACTGGTGGGCCCCAGATCTCCATCCAAGGATTCTCCATCATCTCGGGTCACAGCTTTCTCATCTCCACCACCCCAGAAGCAGGGTAAGGCTCATAAGGATATACTGTCCAAAATCAAAGTTTACAGGGGGTTTATCTATTCATCTGCACCATTTTCTTTCCCCAAACATTCACTGCAGATTTGCCTTACGTGTATTTGACATCTAAAGAAAAAGTTATTAAACCTTTAGGTACTGAACCAAATTCTTTATTTAGGGCTTTAATGGCAACATGGTCATCTTAAAACCCAAAGAGCTCACAAAGCACCAAGAGCTCATCGCTCACATTGCTCACTGCCGTATCACACATTGAAAAGGCTGCAGCACATTGCCAATTAAGGACAAAGATTGAGGCTTTTAAATACAGAGACTGGAATGGTGTTACTGATGTTTTTAACGGAGTCACACTTGGAAAAGGTGAATTTAGGTAAATCAGATTCTATAACTCTACAACAATTTCAGCAATAAAATAATCTAGTGTTTTCTCATAAGCGACAACATTGTGATTAGAGACCAGTGAGAGAAATACAAGCAAGAAGCAGAGATGCCTAATTACTTCCACAGAAAAAAAAGAGTGCATACAAAACCGAGGGAAGAAGCACAAAGTGAACACAGCCCAAAGCACTCCGATATCTGTTGGGTTGCAAACAAACCAATTCCACAGATTACACTTCCCTCACAGGTAATACTCAAACAGAGCTGGCGGTACGCGCCGTGATGGCACTCACCCTACCCAGAGCTCCGGGTTCTGCTGCCTGGAGAATTCACAGCACCGGGGATCCCGGAGCCATCACCGCTGAGCGCCCAACCCACGGCCGTGCCGCTGTGCTGCTGCGTGCCCCGCTTTGTGTCCTCTTCCCTTGGGGAAACGACCCGGGGCATCAGCCTGCTTTCTCACTGCCCCGCTGGGTTGACACCGCGGCACCGGCAGATGACAGCAGAGGTGCTGCAGTGCAGTGCCAGGACAGCCACAGACGCGCCTACAAAGCGCCAAGCTGCCACTTTGCCACAGGTGAGTCACACCTGCGCAGCCGTTCCTCCCCAAAGCCTGGAGGAGCACCTTCTGCTCTCCCGCATGGCAGAGATCTGCTCAAGCAAGCTGTCTCACTCGGGATCAAACAGGATGCAGGCCAAGCACAGCTCAGCGCCCACATCACCAACCCAGGGAGGCGCAGCGCCTCGCACTCCACGCAGCACCAGGCAAAGAATGACTGGGGCAGCACCCCAGCACACCTTTAACTCAAAAGTAAAGGCCCAAACACCAGGTAACCCAATGCGCTGCTTGAAGGCCTCCTCCCCAGGTACCTGCAGCCGCGCATCCACACGCACCCAGGAGCTTTGCTGCGATGACTGAGCAGCCCCTGGCTTTTCAAACACCTCCTCAGTCCAAATCGTCCTCCGAGGGCTGGTGTACCTCAGCGGGTGCACACACTCCTCCCCGAAGTCAAGAGGTATGAAGCTGTGCCCCACGGGGCTCAGAAACGTGCTCGAATTGTGACTCCCTCAAGTGCAGAGGGTGCTCTGAACGCGCGGGGCTCGCGCTGCAAGCTGGTCAGGGCTGTCTGCATTTTTCAGGATGGAGGGACGTGCCTGGGCACCCAGAAGGGAGTGGTGCAGCCCTTCAGCTCTTGCAAAACTCAGTTTCCCAAGCAGCTGTTTTGACACAGCTCAGGGAAAGCAACCAGCAACACCTCGGAGAGCTTTAGCAACAGCCCAAAGTGCAGAGCCACAAAGACCCATTTTTACCATTTCCTTTGGAAAGACTTAATGAGACTTCGACTGAATTACGACTTGCAAACAAACGCTTTGCATTCATCAAGGTTTAACATACACTTCACTAAGCAACCCCAAGTCAAACCCTGCAATACATTAAACACTCATCAGAAACATAACTCTCCTGAAGCAACATGAAAGAGAAATGTTATCTCCGTAGCGATTGCTCAAATAAAAAAGCACGCACACGGCTGCACATTTTATTTTTCCAAAACTGTCTGTAAATGGCAGATGAGAATCTTACAGAACATGGGAGTTGAATACCACTTCACCTTTTTAAACTGGTTTCCTGTCATTGCTGTTTGCTCTTCCTCTCACCTATGCCCTTCCCAAACACATCACGTTGAGTCTTCATTCTTCACTCCGTATTTGAGAAGCGATTCCAGCGTGCACTTATTCGTGTTACTGAGCGGTAAGAGGGACCTTAAAACAAGCTCTGGAGATGCACAGAAAAGTCAGATCAATTAGCAGCACCAAAAATTAAAAGAAAGGAATAGGAGAAGCTCAGAAATTAATACTCTCAGACTCACTTGTAGGATTCAAAACAGGCAAACAAAGCAGCAACGGCTCCCAGCTACTGGAGCAGCCATCCTGAATATCCAGAGCCAGAATAACCTGGCAAGTGAATCCCAATG